GCCATACCCTGTAAATGTTTATCACAAGCCTTATTCCTCGTTCCCTAAAAATATTTTTCACAAGCCTTCTTTCTCGTTGTCTCAAGCAGGAGGATTTTAATTCTTCGGATAATTTGAGAGGATGATATGTAACATGCGACCAAACAAGCATGATGTTTTTTTTTTCCAGTGCATATGTGCAATGCAATCTCAAGGACATCAATACAGAGTAATTTTATATATTGAGATGTAAAATGTATCTTAGAATGCGCTCGATAATACGAGACCTGCATTGCTTTTCAATTTCTTGGTACAGTTTCATGGACCAAGTGCTTTGAACATAAATTCCTTTTGGACATACACTTCACAATGATTCATCAGATGTAATCGAGAGAGAGAACATCAATTTTGGAAATACGCCTTCGAGCCATAAGTGGGTCCAGCTCTTTTTTCCTTTTTCCTCCATTTATTAATCTTTTTAAGCGTAGAGTCTCGTCAACCAAGTGCTGGGAAAAGAACATCTAAAGCCTAAAGGCATACACTGTGGTCTGCATTTCTGTTCATCTCCAATCCATAGAATTTGTGGTCTCAAACAACAGCAAAGTACTGTGCTTTTCAACCAGATGGTATCATGGTAATGCACAACAATACAAAAGCAAGGAGCTCTCGGACTCGGTAAATAGAGGGATTTGTGTATTTACAGACTTGCGCACAAAATTCAAACTCCAACAACGCGATCCGTTCTGGGAGGGAGATAAAAACAGAGCAGAAAGATGAAACGAAAAGCTTTGCACCTGGATTTGTTTTACCATCCAAAAACTTCTAAAAGTCTCCTAAAAACTGCAGACTATGCATACAAGCCCCACGTTTTTCGATTCAACTCATCAGCCCAACAAAACAAACTCCACTATCACTCCTATTCTAAGGCACCACTTACAACAAAACACGAATCAGAAGAACTTAAGTCTCAAAATACTGATCACTTGCAAACTAGTAACGCCAGGGGAGATTACCTGATCAGGGAAAGAACCAGGCCTTGATGAAGATTGCCAGTGCGAGTTGCAATAGAAATGAAGTAGCCAGCACAATAGTGAGATCACCTCCTCCAACATATGTCTTGAGGTTTGCAGTGACAAAGCATGCTGAATCAGCTCCAGCTCCCAGTATGATCAACCACCTCAGGAACTCCACTGGGATAACCAGCAGCACCTGCAAATAGATACAGAACACATGCACAAGATGAAGACAGAGTTTTTAGTGAGGGAAACACTAACATCAATGAACCCACACAAGGCAGGGGACTTACAGAACATGGGACAAAAATGAAGAGAGAGTATCCCCACATGCACCAGAACCGAATCAGGCTTGCAGTTGATCCAAGATACTGAAGCAAGAAGTAAAACCCCAGTGGCACAACGATCGCATAGCCATAGATCGAGACAGCCGCGGCATTAACATAGCCAACATCAAAGTTCCAGGAGGCACTGCTGTCGGTATGTTTCAGCATGAGATAGGTAGCACAGTTTCCTAGAGCGGACAGCAGGAACACCAATGTTGTTGATATCCACACCAGTCCATATCTACCACAACGACAAAACTGACACTGGTGAGACCAGACAAAAAGTATTATCCTCATCAACAGATTACAAAGGAGAAGTGAGATGCCAATATTCAAGTATGTCATGGTTTTAGTGTCAGAAATAGAGAAGGGGACAATAGAAAGATGAATAAGGGATGTGCTTACAAGTCTGGATTGGCGTCAATCTTGCTGAAAAAATCCCCACCTATAGGATAGAATGAGCTCATCAATCTGTTCACGACAATGTCGGTATCGACATTGAAGTATTGTACATATGATGAGACACTAAATACCCCCTTCCAAGTGTTTGGTGGTCCTTGCTGTTCAACTCCATCTATTCATTGTTTAAGAAATGAGGCAAATATCAGTACTATAGTCCAAGTGACCTCAGCAACGAATTCAATGTAGTTACTTCGATTAATGCAATAAAAAAGAAATATTTCAACCAAGCTTTAACAGACAGAAATCACTTTTGACTTTACTGGATACCAAAGGTCAAGAGATTTACTTGACTCGGAGGTAAAAAGACTGACAAGGCTGTCCCCTTTACAAGATGGAAAAATGCTAATGTTCTTCTCAGTCTATCCTATTATTTACAATCAGAACAATCTGGATCACCAACACCCTTGAGGCTCTCCCGCATAGGAGAAGTGTCGACTTTAACTTCCCACCATTGACCATTTTGTTTGAAGTCAAGACCAACTTACATATGAAATGAGAAACTGATATCTCAACGAGCCATTCAGGACAATAAAATTTGCTTGGCAGACCAGCTAATAATTAAGAGCTAACCTTACTCCGACATTTCTTAAAAGCTATCAGGGTAGTGTAACAAAGTCATGAAGATCATGGATAAACCACACAGTACTGGACCAAGGCAAATGATCTTACTAAATTGGATATATGCCACTACTTAAAATTCGTACCAGTTGGAGCTCCCATCGTCTGATAACCCTTGTTGTTGTTGTTGCTGCTGCTGCCTACTCCACCTCCCCGTCCATTACTAGATGGAGGGAACGTCTGCATACTTGCTTCAGGGACTGCAATTCATTCCAAATAAACAACGCTGTAATATTAGGTCAAGTTTGCAATTAGTGTAACATATTGTTTTAAGGGTCATATAACTTCATACCTTCATAGTTTTTGGGGCTTTTTTCTTCAGTAACCACAGCCTAGAAAGAATTGAAAGAAAAGGGGAACACCATAAGTGCTCAAGTCAATTAAGATAGAACAAATTGTAGTACTAGTACAACTACTCAGAAACCGAGTCAGTGTAAGCATAAGACCAGAACAAAGCAGCTGGCAGTAAGCCATTAAAGCCACCTTCCAGAGACCCCTTTATGCAAATTTCCAGTTAGATAGCAGGATCAACAAGGAGACATGGCCAACTAGATGGCAGGATCAATAAGGAGACACTTCCATAGCGACTAAAAGAAAATGCAAATACCCAACACAAATTATTTGCTCTACCAAAGGCCAATCATCATTGAATTTTCTCCCTCGCCATCTCACCCAATTGACCTAACTCGATTGTTGCAACCACCAGGAAGAGTAACAAAACTACTAACACAAGTCCGAATTAATGCCAGAACGAATTAGCTCTCCTACCTTTGAATGAATGAAATAGATACGAATTAGAAACTTACGGGCACCGAGCCAAGCAAGTGGCTAGTAGGGAGGTTAGTGAAGGAGTCGTCCTCCATAGCCCGAAGCGGAGAGAGATCGAGAGGCACAGATTTTTGAGAAAATGGCAACCCGCGTTTTCTCTTCAGGAATTTCTTGTTCTTCCTCGAGAATCAAGATTACAGAGGGGCAGGCATTTGAGTTGAAATGCAAATCCCAATTGGTACTCCCCGAGAAGTCTCACGGAGATTGAAGATTTTTGGGCTCTGCGACGGAGCCGTAGAAGGCAGGGCGAAGCAGCTTTTCTTAGGCTCGAAGCAAGAGAGACCGTGGCGGACGACAAGCAGAGAGAAGCGGAGAGCGAGCCAGGTGCCCGGTTTTATATTTCCAGCAGAACAGTTAATCAGTTCACCCGAGAGAAGGTAGATGGGAGCCACGCGCTGCTTCTGGAGCGTGACGAACATTTCCACAGTCGTTTGCTCTCGTGGCTTTTGTGAATTATGACCATTTTCACTTCATCAATGAAAAATAGTCAATTGTATTAGTAAAATCAAGTACCAAAAACTAAACTTCAAATCATCTATGAAAAAACGTGAACCGATAGTATTAGTTAGTCACATCTCAAATCAAACCAAATCGGTAGTTTAACTCAAACTGTAAATTATGTCCTTCTAATGCAATTAGGATAACAACATTTCACGAAAATATAAAGACGTGTAATCTTTGACAAAGGTACCCATCAATTCGGTTCGGTTTCGACTCTTTATGGTTGGTTTGCAGCTCCTTCCTCTTTTCTTCTTCGTTAATTGTTGATCTCAAAGTTCGAATCAGAAATGTGATGGATTTCCTCATCTCACATTGTTACTAGATCAACCTCAAAGACATCTCTTCTTTTCTCAATACTTTGCATTGATATTCTTATAATAAAGAAAAATAATGAATTGAACATTAATAAAATTCGAAACAACACTTCAAAGTAATGATCATTTCATTGACATTGGTAACCAATGAGTCGATAGCCTCCCCTCCTATAATATTCATACAATAAAGAGAGATAATGACTTGGAAATTAATGAAATTCAGAACATCACTTCAAAGTAATTCTCATGTAGTTAATATCGATAACCAATCAGCCGATAACACCCACTTCTAATTTTGGTTTTTTTCTTTCTAATTTCTAAGTAATCTTTTTTCTTGTATTCAACAATTGCTTCTTCATGGATCATATAATTTTTATCCTTTATACATAAAATTAACAACAGCTGATTCTAATCAAATCTTACATATCGTTTGGTATAAATGAATTCCATAAGTTTTTCGAAATTGATTTTGAAATGAAATCTTCTTGTGTTCGGTATTTAAAAGAATTCATTTTCAATTCTAAATTTTGAATTCCACGGAATTGGAACTAGTTATAACAATTCCCGGGAATTGAGATGGAATTTTCAAATGAATTCCACAAGTATTTACCAACTATGATAAAATGATATAATTATTCTCATTTATTAACAAAATTACTTCTACATATATTATTTGGCGCCGATTCATGCAGTATGAGGAACGCCCACAAGAATTTGATTGTAACGCTAATAGCATATACCAAACACAGGAATTCATTTGACAATAAATTCTACATATGCGTTCATTTAAAACGAACTGAATTCTAGATTCATTTGGTACCAAACGTTCTGTTAATTGTAATCTATGGGTTTAGATCTCCTTAAAGGAGTCGTCAATTAATCAAGCGTCCAAAGCTTTGTGTGAACGACCTCATGTAATCCACACTACGGTACTCAAAACTAATATAAGACCTTAATCTCCTACAAACATTTGTAAAACCTTGATTAAATGGATACTTTATATGTTACAGATAAGTTGAGGACGAAAGAAGCTGATAGAAATGAAGAAATCATATAATCCTTTATGCTTCCCACGATCCAGGATACACAATTAGCAATCTTGGACGCCACTAGTACTAGACTACTAGGTACTACCATTCCATTCAAGTTCACAAGTGAAAAGGGTGACAAGAAAGCATCTTGCACAGAGATCTGTTATGTGCCTAGACGAAAATTTACAACACACAGCTCTAACAAAACCATATCTTTTTTCTTTTTCTTTTCCTGTAGGTAAATGCTACCCCGAACCTTGGACCTAGAAGAAGAGATGTGCGAAGCTTTGGCGAACATCTTGCAATGACAACTAGCAGAAACATCTCCTCATTCAAGGAGGATCACCGTGGAGGATTATGGCAAATACAGCAATGGACGGATGTCATCAAATGGTTGCCGTAGCCAATCACAGGTCGCTGTAGTTGCGCCAGACTTCGCGGAACTCCTCCCTGAATGTATTGAGCCTTGCTTTGAGATTAGGTGTTCTGACACTCGCATGGATGATGGTCGCTGTGGAAGGAAATGGGAATCATCAATTAGCCCCACAACACTATTGTCTGGAAGGAATTGCTACAAGGCTCACTACTAGAGGAACCTTACCAAGAAGGGCAATCACGAGTGCCCACAGAACAGTGGGCAAGCTGCCTGAAGCAAACCACAAAATCAAACTGGCTGCAAAGAAGGATTGTCAGACAGGGAGTATCTCATCAGCCAATATCAACAAAGAAGTACAACAAAAATAAAATCAAGATTGCGTCATCAACTTGAAAGGAATTTAATTATATACCGGATGTGAATACGAAAACAAAGACTCCACGAGGCTGACCACAGATGTACATTGTCTTCTTGGACGATGGGCGGCCGCGGATGACAGGCCTAAATGTTTAAAACATGGCAAATTAGTAATTTCTTTATACTAATAGCCATCCATGAAAGTGAAATTAGGAAAGGTCACATCAGGACCAGCAACTCACATGTGAGGAGGCCTCATCTTTGCTGCCAAATGAGGAGAAAACTTCCTCACAGTTCTTGTCGTCTTCTCACTGAAGGTGACTGCAAAACTGCATCACAAACGTTTATCAGCTCACCACAAAGAATACATGACACAAAAGCGACTTCAAATAACATGATGGTTTCCTACTCCCAGTTTTTGTGGTCACAAAGTTAACCTAGTAAAGGAACAACTTAGGAACAACTTCACACAGATCAGATGGATGCAATAGATCGCAAGAAACTAAACAGGAAGAAAAAAACTACAGGCAAGAAGGGGCAACAGATTCCAGTTAGAGCTCTTCCTTAAAGTATAATTCAGCTTTCTAGCTAACTCACAGGCTAGTCTGGCACGCGACAAAAGCTGCATTACATGACATTGTCAAGTTACATATCTGAAGTTTGTTGCCAGAAGAAAACTACAAAATAAATTAAAAATGAAAGGAAAAAGATTTGTTATATTCCTTCACTGAACGAAAAATCACCTTCACACTAACTCATCGATAAACTCAAGTTTACATCACAAACAACTGCCTTACTAATGTTCTTCATACTGCATATCTAGGGTTAGTAGCTGGAAGAAAGGTACAAAATGGGCAGGCAAGGCTAGAGAAAAGAATGAAGTCCACAAACCAATACTCATCAAGCACACAAAACTGGACGGTCTAGGCATAAGTCTGCTGAGTCTAGTTTTTCAGACTTGTGCCTCGTTTTTTCAGAGGAGCATAAGTCAATATGGTGTGCCACACCAGATTAACAACACCAGGCTTTTAGCAAACACTTTGAGAAGCGACCACAAACTCATTTCCAGTAACAAAGCAAATTTATCATACTTCCATCAGAAGTTCCACTATCTACTCACACTGGCTTTTCAGTTCAACCATTTAGGCTACCGTTGTTAATTTGCAAGTAATCCATAATGAAGGAAGCTAACAGCAAAGAACGGAAGATTCCTAACATTCCCATGATGCAAAAACATTCACAAAACCGAAAATTACCTATCGTTAAGGAAAGCAAAGCTTAGAGCAGTCAAAGCAGCAGCAACTATTGCTAAAGGCCTCATGATACAAGCAACACCTGAAAAGAACCACGAGTAAATAGGACGTCAGCTGTAACCCAAAAAAAAAAAAAAAAAAAACTCCACAGCTAAAATCATGTAGCTAAGTCCTAAAGGGGTTTCTTACCAAGAATGAGCATAATCAAAATGAAGTAGTTCGTCCTGTAGCTGCCAAAAGAGACAAGCCCTAATTCAGCAAACAGTCGCTAAAACAATTCCAAAATTCAACAATTTTAGTTCTCTCAATTGCATCTGAGAGCAGGATAGCAAAGCGGGCAAAAAAATCCGATTGACGAGAACGAATAAACCGGCATGCGGCGTGTTAACGAGAGAGCACTCACTAATACAGATTGCATTTGAGGCGGCTGCTCCACTTAGGGTAAGATCGGGTGATGCTGAATTTGGAGAAGAATTCGTTGAGCGGACGAGGCGGAGAAGACCAGTCGACTTCTCTTAGAGCTCCAATCAGATCATCAGCAGTTACACTTCCCCAGTCCATCGTACTTTCCCCTCTTCCTTGGTACAGCTAGCTCCGATCAGCTAAAAATAATAAACCCCCACACCGGAAAGTAAAGAACGATGTAGGCCGTGGATTGCTTTTGGCAGTCGCCGGCTGAGAAATAGAAATTCCCAGCTACAAGCAACGAACAAGGAATCCGAGATTGGGCGAGGCCAGGCTCTTGAATATTGACGCAGTCGTCGGCTAAGAACCGAGAATTGCTGTGGCAGGTCGAGGAAGATTTGGATTATTCAATCCGCTGTTGTAAGGAGGTCGAAGGTTCTGTAGTTTTTGTCGAGTTAAGCAACGTGTGGAAGTGGAACTTAATCTCGAAAGCGTCGAGTGAGAAGAGGTTAAACAAAAATTAAGAGCTAAAAAAACTGGGAAAAGTATTTTGTTTGTCTGAGCCCAGGTTCAAACTGGGGACCTTTAGTGTGTGAGACTAACGTGATAACCAACTACACACACCACCCAGACAGTTGATATTATTTTTGCCAAAGTTTTATATATACCATTTATATGATAATAGTAGTTCTTTGAGAACATCAGATTCTAGATTAGCAAAAAAACAGTGTTTGTTATAAATTACATAACTGAGAAGGCAATAGTAAATAATAAAAAATCAAAAGTATGATGAAAGAGGGGATAAGGAATTAAGTTTTGTCCATGTGATATATCAAATTGTATCAATCAGTTCTTTACGTAGAATAAGAATTAATATATAGGTTTCGACTCATATTTCACTCGTATCATCTTTTCAAAGTGTGATATCTATAACCGTGAATATTCGCCCGAACCCGACCTAATTGGGTAGGGTAAAACCCGTATCCAGAGGACTTTTAGTGGGTATGGGTAAAACCCGAACCCGAATATTGCGGGTGATGGACGGACATGGTTTTATCACTATCCAACCCGAACCCGCCCAATTATACATACATATGTATTTTCTCTAGAAATAATCATTATTTTTCTGTAATATATTTTAAATTTAGCATATAAATATAATATTTTCATGAAATTGTGTTGTTTTAATTAATTTTCTTCATTTTGGTGAATAATTATCGTACTTTTAGTCTTATGTAATTAGGTAATACGTGTCGATATTAAAATTTTAGTTGGAGTTATAAAGGGAAAGTATTATCTAAGGATAACCGTGGATACCCGAAACACGAACAGGTATGGGCATGGTTCTGATTTTCAACCCGTTTTTTATGCGAGTATGGGTGGTAATGGTATGAGTAAAACCCGAACTACTTTAGGTAGGGTAACGGATATGCACTGTCCACCCCGACCTGACCCATTGACATCCCTACATATGTATAGATAGTGTTTATAGTGAGAAAATCTATATAAAAAAAAATCATTAACCTCGGGTAAGGTCTAGATCGTGTTTTGGAATTGATATTTCTTATATAGGAGAGTGTTTGAGGGCTCAAGATAGGGTGAGTAACCTTAGGATGAGTAACAATGAGTAACCAAATCTGGACCCTTCTTTTAAGTGACTGCAGATCTAAGGGTGGAGAATTAAAGGAATTTATTTTCCCTAGTTTTTTTAATTGGATCATATCTTCTTCATTCTAACTCGGATTTCAATTTTTTTGGCACAGATGGAACGAGTTCGTTGTGCTCTACAAAATTATATCCATTTTTAATATTTTTTGAGAATTTTTTTTCATCCCTCTCGTTACCAACTCCATACCATATGGTATCTCCTTCATTGTTTAGTCATTTTCGAAAATTTTTGCACAAAAGGAACGATTTAATCATGATCTATTGGATTTCAAAATTTGCTGGGGAAAAAAATTTCAAACCTCTCGTTACCAACTCCATACCATACTATACCACCCTGGTATGAGGTGGTATTTTTCATACCATATGGTATGCTTTTATTTAATACCATATGGTATTAAATAACAGCATATGGTATTGACTGATATTTTTCATACCATATGATATGCTGTTATTTAATACAAGTCAATACCATATGGTATAGACTGGTAATACTTGGCAAAAAAATTTTGTTCAAAAAAATATCAAAGTCGATATCATTTTGAAGAGCACAATTAATCTGATCTAATTGTGCAAACAAATTTAAATTTCGAGTAAAAACGAGTGAGAAATCGTCCGTTAAAGATTAAGGGAAAGAAAATTAATGATTTTTCCAGGAGAGAGAATAAGGCGCTGATGTGTCAGATACTTATTGGGTTATGCATGTGGTTACTCACCACAAAGTTACTCACTCTGCTCCCGTGTTTGAGCCCACTCATACCATCAAAGAGTTATAAGGCATTACTACAAACTACACTGTTCTTTTTTTGTAGAAACAAACTACACTCTTCAACTCAGGAAATTGTGTTTTCTCAAGAATATTATACATCTTTAAGCACTTGCGTTTTGAAGTAGCAAACTTATACCATCTCATTTCTCAAGTGTATTAGGCATATCAGGAAGAAAAAAAAATTCAGGCATCTTTACCCACCTCAACCTTTAAGCAGCGAACTCAACCGATCTAAAAAGTATTAGTCATCACTTCACTTGTAAGTTGTAACACCACTAACAACCCAATCATCGTGAAATACATGAAATATTTCGTCACTCTATCCTTAGTACCGAGAGTACTGGGCACGAACATAATCATCGTATCTAATAAAGTTGACACAATCCTCTTGAATCCAACCGAACTTAAACGCGAAATCATTAACCGACGCCTGCTGCGGGTACTCGTGAATGCAATCTCGCCACACGTTGGGATCCCCCAAGTCGTCCCTGACCACCTTCCAAACACAAGTAATACACATATACCCTGCTCCCATGCTCACCATCAACACCCTCTCCCCTCTCCCTAGCCTCTTCTTCGCCTCCATGTACCCCAAAACGTACCATAAACTGCTGCAGGACGTGAATCCAAACCGATGAAGCGTCATTCTCGAAGGCTCCAAATCATCTTCCTCAAGCTCCAAGCTGGTTTTGAACCCGTCGATCAGCGCCCTCGTGTTCGGTTGCAGACAGAAATGGTCGATCCCTGTCTTCATATTGATCCTCTTGCGTCTGCTGCGGCGGCGGAGGAGGCGGAATGGGGTTGATAGCTGCACGGCGAATCGGATGATTTCCCAGAGGGGAAGCACGCTGGGGAGCAGAACCTTGAAATTCTCCACCAAGCACTGCCTCGCTACTCTGGCCACTTTGGGGAGCAGGACGCGGAAGCCTCGGTAGCCCTGCTCGTCCTCCATCTCAATCGCACATTCGTACGACTCGTCGCTGGACGGATGGGTCCGGACCAGAGCTGTAAGCTCCAACATGGCGCTATGCTTCAAGGCTGGGGAATTTGTGAGCAGGATGGACGCGCCTCCGGTTCGATACGTGACGTTCTGCAGCATCATCGACCTGTCCCTGCCACGGTAAAAGTTAGCCCCGATAGTTTCCGCGCTCACTACAACAGCCAGGGCGTTGGGCTGCAGCTTGAACTGCTGCCGCACCAGATCGACGGCCACCAGGCTGGAGCTGCACCCCATGCCGGACAGGCTGTAGGACTTGATCCCTTCCTTCATCTTGTACCGGTTCACGATCCGACATGAGATGGACGGGCAGGGCGCGAAGAGTGATGCTGTCGTGACGAGGATGTCGACCTGGGAAGGGGAGATTCCTGACGCGGCGAAGAGCCGGTCCAGGGTATCGAAGACGATGTCGTCCATTTCCTTGAGGCTTTCTTGCAACGATGGGGAGGCTTCCCGGCCTTCCATGATGTTCCTCGGACAGTAAGTCTCGTCGCCTATCCCCGAGCTGACCATCTCCTTTTGGAGGAAGCGGTAGTCTTCCAGGACAAGGTTGCTGTTCCGGAGGGCAATCTGCAGGGAGTTTGCGGTGCTCATTTTCTGCTCGTCTGGAGGTTTGTAGCACTGGTAGCTCAGCAAGTAACACCTTCCGCCTGAATGCACATATTTGGAAAGCAGATAGTAAACGGAGAAGAGGATGAACGGTGCTGAAACTATAGTTGCAGCTATCAACAGCTCCATCAAGATCTTCTTTCTGCCTGGCTATGGAATTATCTGCGAGAGGAAGAAGAAATGAGTGGGTATGATATAAAAATTGAGAGGATAAACGATTTATGGGTCACTTGAAGCTCTTGAAAGTTAATATGCTAATTAATTCAGTTGGGAGGTTAATCGGTCATCGTCGCGCGTCACTTTCATTTTAAATTATTAGCGGAATCTTGACAGCTCACGGTATTAACACGCATACTTTCTGTTCTTCTAACGGCTAAGTTCTTAACATGAAACGAAGATATCCTAAACACGTAGTAACAGAAGAAGCAAAGTGTGTCAGTGGTTGTCATCATGTTCCTCCTACCGTTTCCCATGTCTGAGCATTTGCATTACAGGTCTGTCCCAGGAAGCTGCGGGGGTGAACTGGATGGAAACCTGTCCAGGGTACTGAACTCGTCTGACACATGCTCCTTATGCTCACCATGATGCACTGTCCCTCGGGATGGTAGATAGCTGGATTGACCTTGACTGGACAATATAGACAACCTTTGCAGATCTTCACCGGATGATCTGCACCAAAATCCACACAAATCGAGTATCTGTCATCCTATCTACAACTTAGCTACCATATATAAGCCCTGAACTGAAATTAGTACAGCTAGTAGAATGCAATCCATTATCAAGACAAGAAGTTGGTTGCATCAAATAGATATACAGGAAACAAAAAATTCACTGCTTCTTCGAATTCTCAACCAGAGGGAGCAAGAGGCTCTGATCTCAATTAACCCGATTCATTAGCAACCCTATACTATAGAAGCATCAGCGGATTGGTCTCTTGTATAGAAACAAAGGTGACACTGCAAGATGGAGACACTATATTACTACTTATAAATCAGAATCATGTTTAATGCATAGTCAAGGAAGCTTCTCAAACCAACAAAGGGGCGACATTCCATACATGCCAACAGTCACCGAGTCATTCAGGTACCAAAACCAACAATAATTAGACATTGGATTTAATTACCTCGTTGACGAGGATTGCTGATGAGACAAGAACACAGAGCACCTTGACGTAGATTCTGGCTGCCTCAGCGAAAAACATCTCACTACTGGGAGGGCTGCTGCTATCAGTGTGAGTACCATTATCGACGAACTGCTTAGCAGTGAAGTTGGCGTCGTAGACAAATTACAGGGAAGCATATAAGAATTGCAGATCAAGGGCTCGTCAAGCACAAATTGGACACCCTTATAACCATATCGAGAACCCCAAACAGAAAATAGTTCATAAACAAAAGATCCCAAACGATGAACCATTCGTTCATTTGAATACAATAATAAGAGGAAAAGACCCACGTCACGCTCACTGTAGAATTTCAGAGCTGCTTCTGCAGTTCTTGTGGTCTGCTCCTTCAAGAGTTTTTCCAGGTCTAAATCTTCATGGTCAGACTCCAAGACTCGTCAGAACTACCACTACATTTTCAACAAATTCACAACAAATGAAGCAATCCCAGCAGCCGTACATTAACAAAGGACGTTATGCAGTCACCACCAATTGAATGGAGAACGGCAAAGGAAAAGAGAGAGAAAAGAGCAAAAAAGCTCGAAGGGAGGTTACCTTTCGCCCCGGTAGCATTAAAAAGTTTCACTTAGCAATACAAACTGTGGAGTATAAGAAGATCCGGCAACCAACTCCTACCAACATTGCCTATGTTAATGAACTATTGTGAGAGGACATACCTATCATAGGTATAATTCTGAAGAGCTACAGACAACAAGCATATTACCAAGCAGTAGCAATACGAATGAAATCGTTCACAAACAACACAATCCACATCGATTCAACAATTGCTGTTGAGTCGTCATCCTGGTCAATTTCATTCAAAGTTGTAGCTTATCTTATCAACATCTACTTGAAAACTCAAGTTATGGGCGAAAAGGAACTCCAACAAGAATGGTAAATTCACCTTGCGTCACATATTAGTAAAAGATGCATGGACAGCCAGACAGACAGACAGGGAAGAGGTACATCTAGTCCCAGTTAAGACTACTACACCACACAGCAACCAACATCTAGCTGCTACAATATCAACTTGCGTACATTGCAAACAAGGTCAGCAAACCACAATCCATAACCAATCTATCCCGATGCTAATTATCTTTTCTTGAACCCATATTTCTTACGCTCATAGAACAAGTCAGTTTTCGCGCTACCCAAATTCACAATCTTGGGACAGCCATCCCGGTCTTTCTCCTGCTGCGTGCACTCTTTGCAGTAGTACGCATCAGATATGCCTACACCTCCACAGATGACACAACGACCCTGGAACGATCCGTAGTTGCACTCATCGCAAACTCGCACCAAGGTGCAAGGGCGCACGTAAGAGTCACAGATCACACATTTTCCATCACATTTCTCACAGAGTCGTCCAATGGCGATGCCCGGTTGCTTCCTGCACATGATCAAATCAGGATGATGCTTGGCCATGGCTGCTGCTGCTTTCACTCTACTGGTTGAGTTGTGCTACCAAATCAGTCACTCTGTAAACGTCCATACACACCCTGATTAGAGTTAGGAACATTGGCTTTCTTTCACCAAAGCGGCAATCTCCAAACATAGATGAAGTTCTCATATCCAAAAGCAGGCACAGAGCAGAGGTAATAAGTAATCACTGACAGCCTACTTCGTCTAAGCATTGAAGTAAGCTTAGTACAAGAATATCTGGCAGGCATTGGGCGGCTACTTAAAAGGATTAGCAATAAACCCCATCTCTAACCTGCTAAGAATCGCACAGTTGCAGGCAATTGCTTTCATCATTTCAAACAAATACGCCCAACAGGCGAGCAAGTGGGAGCTAAGATGCAACATTTAACCTAATTTCTTCCACCGAAGAAAGACAGACCACTAATATAGAGGAAGTGCCAGGAAGAAAAGTACAAATAAAAAGGGAGATGGGAAAAACCCTACAGCATCAACGAATCGACAAGAAATCCAAGAAAAGCTCCATTAACAGGAAGTACTTGAAGACAAGGAAACTTCATGCGGAAACAAAAAAGAAGATGAAGAGGGAAGAAAAGAAGAGAAAAACCTGTTCTGCGCTCAGTCTCGTCGGAATGGAAACGGCAAATGCCTTTGTTCTGGCGGCGAGAAATACAGAGAGCTTAGTGAGAGAATTGACTCGGGTAGAAGAAGCCAGAGGCTTGAACAAAAGCCCAACAACACTCTGTTGCAGCGAGCCAGCGACCTGAATTAATATGGGCTTGGGCTTTTTTGTCTGAGACAGACATTATCTCTTTTGGGCTCTGTGTGACGGATACGCGTACGTCATATCCCAACAGCTCTTTGTCTTTTTCCGTTGCCTTTGAAGGGCGAAATCGGCAATTCTCCCCGAAGCTACCAACCAACCAGTGTTTTTCAAGCTTCCTATATCCAATCTCTTCCCCGCCACCAACGGCTCCGCTTCATCTCCACTCGCTCCACACTCCCCGCCGCCGTCGTTGTCTCCTCCCGCCGCCGCCTCTTTGAATATTGCGATATGGCGGATGGTTAGTTCTGATCGAATTCTTCAATTTTCCGTCTGACTTGCCGCTTTATGTTCCACTCCTAGAATCAATTCTGTCTGTTTTTGTATTTTTTGTTTCCCGCTTGCTATTGATGTTGTTGTCTGTTTCATATCTCAAAGGCGAGAAGGAATCTCCGGCTGCTCCCACGTCGTACGACGAGGCGATGGAGGCCTTGTCTTCTTTGATAACCAAGCGGAGTCGTGGCAATAACAGCAACAAAGGAAATCAATTCGATTTGCTCTTCCATTACCTGAAGGTTTCGTACCTGCCAGGCTACCACTTCAATTTCAATTTCCGGCGCTCTATCTTTTGGTATGTTTCATTGTTCGGGGGAATTCAATTGAAAATTTTCACTTGCTGCTTGCTTGACTCTCAGATTCTGGAGCTGGAGGATGCATTGGATGATTTGAAGATTGTTCATGTGGCAGGCACCAAAGGAAAGGTAATGCTATACTGCTATCTTACTTCTCAGTTACTATAAATGGTTATAATCTCAACACTCCACAGTGGTAGTAATGGCTTTGCTATGTTTCTCGTAAACTAGCACATCGAAATGTAGGCGTGACTGCAGGAGCCAGGAAGAACTAGAAATCTTCAAGTGACTTTTGCATGGTTTTATGTATGGAATTGTTGTCTGTTTTGGCTATAATTTATTTTCCCATTTGGTGCGAAGGGTTCCACTTGCACCTTCACGGAGTCTATACTGAGGAATTGCGGGTTTCGAACTGGGCTTTTCACCTCACCTCACCTCATTGACGTCCGAGAAAGGTTTCGTTTGGATGGGTGAGTTTCTCATGTTTGTTATTATGATTTGGATAGTATAGCTATGAGATTGGTTGGCTAGTTGAGGAATAATTGTGCATGCCCTGGTTCTATTATTTTTAGCTTACTGTTTGGTTTCTATTATTCTTTTTTCACCTCCCAGATTATTTTTATATTGATTTTTCTGTCTTGTTAATGTTACTTGTAAGGATTAAACTGTATGGTGTCTTGTTGTCTATTACAGTGTTGATATATCCCAGGAAAAGTTTTTGGCCTATTTCTGGTGGTGTTTCAACAGATTAAAGGTGATTCTTGTTGGACTTTTTTCTCTTCAGAAAGATTTAAAGTTTACTGGTCTTGTTCATATGAGAGTTCCTTATCAAATTGGCCACTCAATGTCAACATGAATGAGAGAGATACGTTATCCTTCTCTTTTTGGCTTTTGTGATTTAATATTTTATTTGTTAAGGTTATTAATTTGGTCCTGGCCTATGAAACATGTGAGAATAAAGAAAGGCTAGTGGAAAACATTTCTTTTCTGTAACCTTGTGGACTTAAGATATTTCAACTGGAGTATCTATTTGAAATAGCATTGCCCTCTGTGGTTGAACTAACTCTTCCTCTATTGGTATCAGACTACTTGTTTTACATTGATTTTGTATCATATCCATGCTGCTGAATTTGGAAGGTATGGGCAGGAAAGAACAACTGAAGATGTACCAATGCCTCCTTTGTTTCGTTTTCTTACGCTACTTGCCTTCAAGATCTTTTCTGCAGAGCAGGTTCATAAGTATTGGTTTCATCTTCAACACTGTCTCTCCTGTTTATCCTCTGAAACCCAGCTGAATTGGGATCTGATATGTTATAGTTTCTTTGTGCAGGTAGATGTTGCTATTTTGGAAGTGGGATTAGGCGGGAGGTTTGATGCGACAAATGTGGTATGTAATTATGTGGTTTGCGGATTGAGTGAGTACAGCTGAGTATGATTTGTGTTTTTGTGCCTAGGTTGGTGTCAGGTCCTTAATGTTAATCTGTTATGCTATGTTTCAGGTTCAGAAACCTGTTGTGTGCGGGATAGCTTCTCTTGGGTATGACCATATCGAGATTCTTGGTTAGTTTTATTTTTCTATACTCTTGGCAATTACTATGGTAATTGGGAAATGTGTGCTAACTGTTGCTTGTGCGATAGCTGTTTAGGATTCTTTCTCAAGGTGATTGTCAGATTACAGGCTAGGCTAAGCATTAAACAAATATCCCCGTCCGGATTTCTGTGTTGACATGTACAGTGCGAGATTACTTTGTGTATATTGGAGAAGGAATGACCAGCTCATGCAATCTGATATTTTAAGTGATTGAAGAGCGTAATGGAGACTTAATCTTTCACATTATACTGGAGGCCTGAGCCTGTCATTCTCATGCGTTCTTGCATTTGTTGCTCATTATATTTTGATATGTGGGCCAAGGGGTTTAAGTGTGATTTTTACCTTTTAGATTCCTGTTTTTTGCTCTGCCAAACTCATAAGCTTGAGTTCTTTTCTTTGTATTCATGCTTCAAACAGGGGACACCCTTGGAAAAATTGCTGGTGAAAAAGCTGGTATTTTAAAGGTAAGAACTTGATGCATTTACATATGTTGAAATTCTTCAAGATCATGACACAGAGTACTCTGTTTGATGTAGCGTGGCATTCCTGCTTTTACAGTGCAACAACCTGAGGAAGCAATGTGTGTCCTTGAAGACAAAGCTTCCAATTTAAATGTCAGTTGGAGGTTTCTTAATCTTATCCCAATGGGAATATTTGGTGGGATTGCTTAGGGTCCTAGAACTTTTAGTCTGATTGGTGATGCTGACTACAGGTTGATCTTCAAGTTGTACCACCTTTGGATGTCAATTTGCTAAATGGCCAAAAACTTGGCCTTGAAGGTGAGCACCAATATGTTAATGCTGGTCTTGCCATTGCGCTTTCTTTCACTTGGCTGAAGAGGACAGGTCATCTTGAACTTGCCAACCAGGACCACACTGTAAGTTGTGTGCATTATAGTTATATTTGGAAGCATGTTATATTCTCAGTACCATTTTCTTAATCTTACTTCCACGAATCAGGACTCACTGCCTGAGCAGTTCATTAAGGGGTTAACAGCAGCCAGTTTCCAAGGCCGGGCCCAGATTGTCCCCGATCAATATGTAGATAGTGAAAAGGATGGGGATCTTGTCTTTTATTTGGATGGTGCTCACAGTCCTGAAAGCATGGAAATCTGTGCAAAATGGTTTTCTGGTGCTGTTAAAGGTGAGCACCAATCTGATAAAGCAAAACCACAAGTGAGTTCATCCACACATCAATTAAAGAAGAATATCATGCAGGTAAGCATCAACGTCCATCCCTTTAATCAATGTGCTCTCCATGAGAGCAAGCTCCTGTCTGAGATAGTAAGTGAAAGTTGAAATTAGTAGGCGACGCTCCTGATGAAGAATGGATAAGTGTCTTCTTTTTTAGGGTTTGCTAGTAGACATCCCCAACAAGTAAAAAGTATCAAGGAATTTTCTGGTTGCTATGAAACTATCTTATTTCCTAGCCCATATCAAGGATTCATTCTCATGTTTCTCTAACTCGTTTGGTTAGTTAATTCCAGCGAAGAGATGAATAGGAGTGTACTGTGATCAGATAATTAATGGGAAGTGGGTAATATTATGGTGTAATCGTACTTCTTATGAGTCGGATCTCAGTCTGAAAGAGCTCTTATGTCTGTCCTTTCATTTTGCTCTCCCTTGTCTTTTGTTTGCAAGTAATTTTTCTTAATATTATTTTGTACCCCCTGAAACTCTTCTTTTGTTTGTCATTGTCTAAATCAGGTATTTGATCCCTCTTCAGCTGAAAGAGTACAACTAGAGGTCTTTCCCCATATTTTCTAGCCCAAATCTCTAATTCTATATTCCTTCCAAGTTCCAATAAACTTTTAAAAGATACCACTGACCTGGCATAAAAATTAAAAATGAAATGAAATTTAAATGCGAAGATTGATTTGTGTGGCATCTCTCTTGAATTCTCTTTATATCACTGCTCAATGTGGGTATCCAGTGCTTGAAGGTGCTTAGCTTTTGGCAACGCTGAAATCATCCAGTTCTTTGGCATTCATGCAGATATTGTTATTCAACTGCATGACAGTACGGGATCCTGAGCTGCTTCTGCCACAATTGATGAAAACATGTGCTAGTCAAGGTAATCGTGAGAGCAAGGATCCAACTCTTTTTTCCCCAAACTTTAATTTCAAAGAACACAACAACAAAGCTAATCGGCATAATAATTCTTTTACAGATATGAGAATTGGATCCATTTTACCGTTCGGGTAGTAAACTGCGAATCAGAATTATACAATTGCTTTGATGACATTCGAAATCTCTTCATTTCAGATGTCTACTTCAAGAAGGCACTGTTTGCCCCAAATATGTCGGTGTACCATAAGGTTGGAACTCATGCTTTGCCATCAGCTGTTCCTGAAGCTGATTTGTCATGGCAGCTCACTCTTCAAAGAGTGTGGGATAACACCATGCAGAAGGATAAAGGTATCATATCATATATACAGTGGCAAAGTTCTTTTTTTCCGGCTGTTTTGAGTTTCTTCATGAAACTTGATGCAAAAGTTGCTGTCTTTTAATCATTGATAAGGCTCGGGGTTTGGATGGTAGGAAGGGAGGCCAAGCAAGTAAATCATGTGGCCGAGGAAATGAAGGACGATACAGGAAAAGGTGGTGGGAGTCTTGAGAGCAGTAGTGTAGTTTTTCCTTCTCTCCCCTTAGCTATCAAATGGCTCAGGGACACTGTTAGACAGAATCAATCTGTTCGCCTCCAGGTAATCTCAATCCTCTCTCTGATATATTTTCTTTTTAACCTTTCAATAAATTGGTACAGTGGATGCAGCCCTCACTATTGGCAATTGCTAGCAACTTAATCATCTTTCTTACCCTTTTGTATTGCCATTGATCAGGTCTTAGTTACTGGTTCGTTGCATCTCGTGGGTGATGTACTGAAACTAATCAGGAAGTAGAGTGTCCCTCTTGACCATTCATTCTTGAAAGATTTCTTTCTGATTTGGGCGCTTCGAACACATCTTCCAATTAAAAGTGAAGTATAGCTGGATGTGTTTTCCCAACTAAAGAAGTCCCCAGCCTGCCCCGAATTATGCATGCATTGGATACATACCATGCCACAGATCGACTGGCCGGCAAGGAAAGTTGGTGTACAGTACTTCAGCTGGTCTGGATTGCTTTGAAGCATGGTATCGTCAACCAATAGTGCATGCCCCTATTGTTGTCAGACATTCTGACAGTTTAGCGATTATCGTTGCAAGTTGTAGAATGATAACGTTGCGGGAACTTCTGTATTTAATTTGTGTAACATTTGTATCTCTTGAACGTGCTCCAAAACAATAAATATCATGTTTTACTCTTGGCTTCAGATTGCTAATGGTATGTCTTTGCCATCCTACAAAGTAGAGATATGAATTCTCCTTAGAAATGAGACTTCAAATTCATTCTAGTGCAAGATCTGAGTGGATTTCAATGCTTGAGAACTTTCAAATTGATTCATTTCCACCCAGATTGCTCAAACAAACTAGGATCATACAAAGGCTCGTGAACTCTTCTTTCTCTGTGAGACTCAACCATAATCCACAGCTATTGACGAGTAGTTTCCCATATGCGACGAAGTTTCACAGGTTTGTAACCATTGAAGAAATGAACCAAGGGCATGGTAAATGGATGGAGAAAACTGAAAACTTCCACGGAATAAAGAAAGAATAATCTCATTTCATTGGACCTGAGCAAATGTGCCTGTACAGAATTAAGAAACAAATATGCTCAACTGGTGCCGATGCCAGGCATATAATGAATGCCATTTCCCCTCTACTTTGCCTCAGCTGGAGGCCTATTTTTTTAACTCCCACGCCCTCTTAATCATTAACCAAAACAACAGAAACACCCAAAAACACCACCACCACCCGCCTGAAGAAGAGCAAGCGTATTTGTAATATGCCGTCCCACAAAAGACTGCTCACTCCACAACTCTGATCATCATCACCATCATTAAGGGTTCAAAACAAATGAGGTCACCGTCTTAACAACTGTCGGAGTTCCTGGACTTCCTTCTGCAGGGACTCAATTTGCTTCGTCATCTCAGTTTGCTTCTCAAGATACAAGCACTGCATATATCCATCGCCTCCTCAATGTCAAATTTTAGATACCAGAAGGACAACAGATGACGGAACAAAGATGAAGATCAATACATGCTATATATTTGCAGATTTGAAGATTTTACCTCCTGCATATGGAATTGTCTAAGGACTTCAATGTGTACGTTCCGCATGTCTTCGCGTAGAGACTCCCCGAATGTACCCAGAGTTTCTTCCAGTTGACGTTGAAATAGCTGAAGAGGAAATGAACTCCCCTGCTGCATATCAGAAGGTTGTAGAAGAGCCTTATGAGGTTGTGCTACCCCTCCCTGCCACACATAATTCACAAATGAGACTGCTGCAAAGAAACACAAAAGCCAGTTTCCAAGAACATGTTTCGTCTGCTTACATTTGCTAATGGAAGAACTCCTGGCTCAGTAGCAACAGCAGCTAAGGACTCGGACCTTGATGAGAGGCTATTCAAGAGGTCTTCCCTGGTTTCAGATCCAGTTTTCTTCACTTTGGGAGAAGCAACCCCAAGGGATATCCCATCACTAAAAGAGGAAGTGGTGCTGATTCTCTCTGCATATGTTGAAAATCTACGGGCTAGGCTTGATGATGCCAGTAGCCCTGATGGTGCTTCAATACTACTAGTCAGCCCCACAATGCTTTTTGCAGAACCCAGGGGCAGAGTCGACAAGTGACCGAAAGACGGAAATTGTTCTGGATAAGCAATCGATGTCTCCTGACTAATAGAAACGTCTCTAAGTCTCGCATTTGTCAAACCAGTCGTTACTGAGCTCATGCTTGTTTGATTCATCAAGGTGGAGGATACGTCTTGCATGCCTGAGAGCAGCATAGAGCCTCCTGAAGTGAAACTTGCAGAAGAAGTTGTGATCCCCAAGCGAGGTGGAAGAACATTTGATGTCTGGCGAAGATGTGCAATCTTATCAAATCTCTCACCACCACCCCAAGCTTCTGGAGGAGTTATTGAGGTTTCTGCACTTTTGGAAGATGGAGGAGGAGTCGACCCACTTAGGTGGGCATGGGATGATCTGCTGTCATCCTGCTTAAAAAGAAGGGCAGAGAAAGAAAAATCAATCAAATACTACCACACACATCAAATACCTCTTTCCCAAGTTAACAACGGAAAAGCTCAAAATAAAAGCTCCGGAAGAAGTTATGCTTATGCACACACAGAACTCCCGATTGAGTAGCGAATGCATGACAGAAGTTCAAGGAGTTGAGGCTTCACAGGCAAATGCACCACAAAAGCAAAAGGATAGTTGAAGGCAACTGAACCTTTAGAAAGTCCACAGAAAATTTTTACACACTCAAAACACCTGGATATCAAAAAGGAAGTATAGAAATTTCAGACCTGTCTGGAACTTGAACTGGGTTTCCAATCATATATTGGATGTTCATTGATGATTCCGTCTTCGGCAAATGGAAATCTCCTGCTGCTTGATGAGGGAAACACGAAGGATGAAGGCTTCTTGTCAGCTAGTACATTATCTAACTTTGATCCCTCATGATTATCCCAATACTTGTCAAGAGAAGGTGTGATAGGCTGAACCTCCACAAGCGGTGAGAATACTTCCATGTCATCCATGAAATTATAACTAGTACGTGGAGCCTTTAATCTCGTTAATGGTCCACCTGGCCGTCGAAGTGGCGTTTCTTCATTGAAAGAAATAACAGGAGGCAAGGTTGACCCACTGCCAGTTCTTGAAAGGGAGGGAACTTCTGAATGACTAGCAGAGGACATGGAGGGAAGTGGGTCAGGCATAAGTATAGAATCTTCAACAGATCCACCAAGAAGAGCCATCTCTGCTGTACAGTTCTCATTTACAACAACTGGTTTTGATCTTTGCCAGCATAAACTTGTAACAGCCTGACAAAGAACCATTTACAATGGCATGAAAGAGGTAATTCATCAAATGAAGTTTACAAACTCGCTCTGAAGTGGCATAAAATTGGCTAACGGCCGAGATTTATTGTTATCAAGCAATCCAAAACCCACCTGACATATACAAGTGCTCAAACAAATCTACGAGCGGCTCAAACTCAAAATTGCATGAAAACTATTTAAAGTTCTGTATCATAATTCAAAACAAAGAGAGCATTTACAGGACTTTTCACAATTTTCACCTCTTTTCTCACCACTTTGCATGTTTAGTATACTCACGATAACACTCGACGAAAATATACACGAAACAGAATCAAGCATAACTGATTTAAATTATATGTGCTCCAGGCCAGAATAAATAAGGGTAAAACCCACCTCTGAGCTGTTATAAGCACGAAGAACTGTGAAAGGCTGTGGTTTTGCTCGGACATCATAAAAGACAACCCTGCCACTACTGGTTCCAGCTGCAAGAACCAACCCATCATCTCTAAATGCCAGTGAGGAAAAAGGTGCCTCATAAGAAATACAAGAGGAGGACCGTCTGGACCCAGAATCAAATGTATATAACTTTTTATCCAGGCCAACACTGGCTATAATCTGCAAAGGTTGAGATAGCCATATGTTATCTGAATTCACTACAGGTAAGCTTCTAGATTTTTTAGGGAGAATAAATCCACTAGAATTTAGATTGGTACGAGACCTTATCATTTGATGGAGAGAAGCTAACACCAGCTGCTGGTGCAGAATGTTGCTTCAACCAAGAATTCTGCAAAGCAGGTTTCTCAGTGTTACAATATTTCATGCACAAACATTATGACAGGGAGACAACTAGTGCGAGATATTACTTGTTTCAGTAGCATGACAAAGTTTTTACATTGGCAATCATTTCAACTTATTAACATAATTGGGAAAAAGGGTGAAAAGTTATCCACTTAGATAGGATGGATTTAGACTCTTATCCTATATAAACAAACCTTCGGATGGCGTCCTGTAGTGTCCCATAAATGTACCGATCCATCATCACCTGCAGTAACCAAGAGGTGACGGCTGAGCCGTGAATAATCCAGCACCCTCAGTACCTGGTCTTAAACCCATCAGATCAACAATGAGTTGCTGAAACAAGTGGAAAAGGGAAGGAAAGACGTCTGCACTTGCATACAACAACCTGGTTGTTGGGGTCCTTCAGTTCTGCAGCTCTTCCGCCCGATGCAAGGTTGTGAACAAGGAGATCTCCACTTAGACTTATGGATGCCAAGTGATCATCTTTACAGTTGTACATAGTGCCTGTAATAGTATTTGTATGACCCATCAACCGTTTAATGCAGAGTTTCCTCTGTAGATCCCATATTCTTACAACTTGGCAACTTCCACCAGAACATATGTATCTGGATCCTTTATTACTAAAGCTAATAGCCGATATAGATTCCTGCAAAATGATCAATGAAACAACAACTCCATCACCAGACAAGAAAGCCACAAACATCGAGAGAACACGAACAAAATAATGGTATCATGACCACAGAAGAAAAGCTTCAGATAAAAAGCACAGTGATCTTCACCCGTCAGTTAACTGAACGTGACAGGTTTGTTATATAGGCCAGATGTGTGGGTACACACAAGAAAAAACTCCTTGCTCCTGGGTGAGGTTACTTATAAATACAATCATCATTGCTTCATAAAGGAGGACACAGTTGCTTGTTATATTCTTTCGAACACACTATCTATTAATACTTTCATTAAGTTTCCAGTTGGCTTTTGCTTATACCCAACACAGTGCTTCTCGATCATTTCGTTCAACCAAATCAGGCGATTATAATATATAATGAACATCCGTGGATTGCAAAATATTTAAGTGCAGCTGGATATCATAATTAGAGAACTCTGTTTGTCTGGGAAATTATAGACACGCTACAAGTTGATTTAATGCCCTTACGAATTTGCAAGTTGATTGAGTTATGCAATCAATAAACAACTAACCCACCTCAATGCCGTCTCCACTGTCCGTCCCAGAGATGGCAATTGTGCCCATGCTCTGACCATTTTTCCTCCACAGCGAAATCTTCTTGTCTTCGCCGGCACTTGCGACAACTAAATCTGCAAAAAAGAATCGGAAAAGAGAAGAAAAGGAGGACGAGGAGGCAGTTCAGAGAAACGTAGATAGAGACTCGAAAGACTTCAAGCAACCCAACATCCTGAATTTTTTACTCTTCCCATTTCCAACCAACATTCTACTTTCTGTTAACATTTCCAACCACTTTCCCAACTGGAAAACCCTAATCGATCCCAACCAAATCAAATTAGAAACTGAAATTTAGATTACGAAGTATACAACCATAAGAGACTGAAAAAACAAGGAGGAGGAGGAGGAGGAGGAGGAGGAGGAGGAGGAGAACTGAACTCACTAGTGTGGTTCCACTTAACGGAATTGACCAGGAAACCAGGTGAGGGAGTGTAAGTCAAGGTGCAGGGATCCC